GACAGGACAGCAAAGCTTCTAGCAGAGTGGGTGGGTAGAGGCCTGGAGCTTCGGGAAGCAGGTGCGGCTGCCAGTTCCCTGGTGGAAGTTTCAAAGGTTTTTTTTTTTGGTTTTTCGAGACAGGGTTTCTCTGTGTAGCTTTGCGCCTGTCCTGGAACTCACTTGGTAGCCCAGGCTGGCCTCGAACTCACAGAGATCCGCCTGGCTCTGCCTCCCGAGTGCTGGGATTAAAGGCGTGCGCCACCACCGCCCGGCCTTCAAAGGTTTTAAGAGCAACGAGGGGGGCGGGAGCCGGGGGGGGGGGGGAGGCAGTCCCCCCCCCTCCCCACTCCCAACCCCGCTTCCTGTGCTGTGTGGCACAGGTGCAGGGGAACCTGGGAGCTCCAAGAACTGAGGCTTCAGCCAGGTAGACAGACTGTTGAAAAGGGCACCGAGGAGGTTCAGTCCTGTACCTTGTGAGCACGTTCGCGAGGGAGCTGATGGGAAGGTCAGCACACCTCTCTGTAGGAATACAATGACCTTCACCACCAAGCCACCAGAGTGGCTTTTATCCTGAGGGCACAGGGGAGCACAGCAGAATTGGGGACAAAGGAGTACTGTGTCCTAATCCCTCTGTCTGTGCAGTCTGGGCCAGGCTGCTGCGGGTTGAGCGCAGGAGCCACAGAAGTATGGCGAGTGGACTTGGGACAGGGTGGGGTAACCAGGCCCTCTGTCTTACTGGGTCCTAGGTCCTGTGGGTGTGAGGGAGAGGCCAGACAGGAGCATGATTCTTACACCAACACTAACTAGGCCCCCATGTGAGACCACAAAGCCCCTCAATTTCCCATCAGCCTCGCTGAGGCTCATGACCTGGCTTGCCTTTGCCTCCAAACAGCAGGAGATAAAGCCCAGGTGTCTGATAGCTTGATGGAAAAGTGATGGTTTTTCTTTTAAGACAGAGGTTCAGTGGGGGATGGTGGCATACACCTTTAATCCCAGCACTTAAGAGGCAGAGGCAGGGGATCTCTATGAGTTGGAAGCCAGCCTGGTTTACAGTGAGCTCCAGACCAGCCAAGGCTACATAGCTTGAGACCCTGTCTCAAAACAACAAAACATAACAAAAATACAGGGTCCATGTGACCCAGGCTGGCCTCAGCTGGCCTCACTGTGTAGCTAAGGATGACTTTGGGTGTGAGTCACCATGAGATCAAACCCAGGGCCTCGTGCATATTAATAAGCAGGCAATCTACCCATTGACCCACATCTTCAGCCTTAAGCAGTGGTATCTTTGTATTATCGAACTCTAGTGATGGGAACTGAGCCGAGGGCTTGGCTTGCTGAAGGTGAAACCTACCCTGAGTGTGTTCCCAGGGCTCGCTGACATCTCATCCGCCCCATCTAAGAACGGCCCGGAGCGTGTGAAGGGGCTGGTCCTGCAGAGCCAAAGCTGCAGGATCTCCATGACACAGGGCAACAACAGGATACCGGAGTCCCTCTCCGAGGATCCAGTATTGATAGTGTCGCAGAAGCCAGAGGCCTCAAACCAGACCAAGGTAGGACTCATTGCAATGGACATTTGCAAGCAAAACTGTTTGGGCAAAAGGGTAGACTGTACGACATACCATGACATGCCACAGCTTCCACGGCGAGATTCTTTTTTTTTTTTTTTTTTTTTTTTTACTTTTTATTATTTAATTTGTTTTCTTTGGGGAGGGGGGGTTGTAAGGGTGGAGGGACGGGAAGATGAGTGGGATTGGGATGCACAATGTAAAATCCACAAAGAATCAATAAAAAGTTAAAAAAAAAGATGGACACACATTCCAACATGCCAAGTTTTTAAAGCCCAAGACAACATCCTCCCCATAGAAGGGTGTGGTGCTGTTTACTGTCCCAGAAGCCTTTGGGAGTTAACACAAAACCAAGGGTCAGTTACCAGGAGTCACACCAGTTGAAAAATGTTTTCAATGTCATTTTATTGTTGTTTTGAGACACTGTTTCATCACGGAACTCTAGCTGGCTTGGAAGTGGCTATGTAGACCAGGCTGGCCTTGAACTCACAGAGATCCATCTGCCTTGGCCTCCCAAGTACTGGGACTAAAGGAAAATGCCATCACACCCCACTCAACATAAAAAAAAAAAATTCCCAAGAGCTGTTTTCTGTGTGCTCCCTATATCCCCATCCCTCCCCTCAAGAGAGTGAACTGAGGCTCAGAGCTGATGGCCAACAGGCAGGGCCTGGTGTCCCAACCTATGACAGTCAGAAGTGCATGGGCCTTTTTCATGTTCTCCCTGTGGGCTGAACTTCTTATCAGTTAGTAGGGCTTGTCATTTGTGACAAACATCTGCCTTCCATGCAACCCATGGGTGGCAGAAACACACGTGCAGGTCTGCAGAGGGAGGCAGGTGGACCCAGGGAACCAACGGAACCAGCCTAGGACACCGAGAGTCCCCCACTGGGGCTTCCCCTGGGGCCCCATGCTGATTTAGTAGTAACTAATTAGCACGACACAGGGCTGGCACTGGAACAGACCTGGGGGCTCAGTGGAAGAGCGACTGAGCTGTCTGGAGTGGGGGACTACACACCACGAACCCATGATGTTTCAGCTAGGAACTTGGGCCCCCTGGCTCAGGGCTCTCCCAGGGAGTGGGAGGGACACGCTAGCAATATGTTCGTATGTGGGCGCATCCTGGTGCGATGGCTATTCTCGGTTGTCAGCTTGACTACATCTGGAGTCAATTAAAACCAAGCGGTTGGGCACACCTGTGAGGGAGTTTCTTTCTTAATTAAATCATTTGAAGTGGGAAGCCCCACTTTTAATCTGGACCTTTGAGGTGGGAAGACCCACCTTTAATCTGGGTCCACTGTCCGGTAGTTGCCTATATAAAGGGTGTGGCGGAAGGAAGCTCGATCTCTTTGCCTGTTTGCTCTCACTCTTGCTGAAGAGTCCATTCCTTCCCTGGCATTAGCGCCTACTTCTTTTTTTTTTTTTTTTGGTTTTTTCGAGACAGGGTTTCTCTGTGTAGCTTTGCGCCTTTCCTGGATCTCGCGCTGTAGACCAGGCTGGCCTCGAACTCACAGAGATCCGCCTGCCTCTGCCTCCCGAGTGCTGGGATTAAAGGCGTGCGCCACCACCACCCGGCGAGCCTACTTCTTATGTATAGTCCATCAGTTCTGTTCCTCTAGAGAATCCTAATCTAACTGGCTATGATTGTTCGCTTTGCTTACAGTAGAATTCCCCCCCCACACACAGTCGAAGCCTCTGCCCATAATTCCACTTCCACCTCTCAAAGGGGTTCCAGAGAAGTGAGGGTTGGAGAGGAAACTTTGCTGGTGCTGAGGGAGGGAGGGTGGCACAGCTGAGCCAGGTCCCAAGCCTACCTCACTTCCCTGAGAGCCCGCAGCAACCCGGCCAGCTTCTAGCCAGGGATTCGATTCAGGTTCCAGCCCGATGCCCTGCCTGTCTTAAGACTGGGACGGCTCTTGTTCCCCTGGGTCCCCGGAGGTCACTTTTCCAAAGCCCTGTGTGCTGGCTAGTTTTACGTCAACTTGACACAGGCTAGTCATCTGAGGAGGGAACCTCAATTGGGAAAATGTTTCCATAAGATCCAGCCGCAGGCAAGCCTGTAAGGTATTTTCTTATTTGGTGATTGATGGGGGAGGGCACAATCCGTTGTGGGAGGGGCTACCCCTGGGTGGTGGTCCTGGGTTCTATAAGAAAACAGGCTGAGCTGGTGGTGGTGGTGGTCCAGGCCTTTAATCCTAGCACCCAGGAATCAGACAGGTGGATCTCTGTGAGTTGGAGGCCAGCCTGGTCTACATAGTTCCAGGACAGCCAGGGCTATGTAGAGACCCTGTCTCAAAACAAAACAACAACAAAAGAAAACAGGCCGAAGAAGCCATGAAGAGCCAGCAGGAATCTCCCATGGCCTCTGCATCAGCTCCTGCTTCCAAGCTCGTGCCTCACACCTCCCTTCAGTGGACTGTGAGTCTGGATACGTAAGCCAAAACAATGAACTCTTTCCTCCCCAAGCTGCTTTTGAGTCTGGCTTCATCACAGCAATAGTGATCCTGACTAAGACACCTTGTGAGTTCAGCATGTGCCCTGACCACAGGCAGCACAGTAATTCAAGCAGGCCACCCCAGGTGGGAACAGGCTGTTTCTCCCACCCTGGGAGGCAGGGGACCTTCTGTCCTAACATCTCCAGCAGATCCCCTGGACCCACAAGGCCTGCAGTTCAAGCGTGAAGTCGCTGCTTCCTATCCTATTTTCTGGTCAGATCTGGTCACTCTGCTCCTGGGTCTGTTATTCGCTTGTTATTCCCAGAAGACAATCAAGACCTGAGTGCTTTGAAGGGTCTGGGGCAGGGGTCAGCATGTGATCAAGAAGGACCAGACTCTCCCTGGCTCTCTAAAGAGGATCTCCATGGGACAGACAGAGGCCTACTCCAGGCATGGCTTGTCAGGCTAAGCCGCTGGGCTGGTGCAAGCCTGCAGCAATCCTGCCAGCACTCAAGAACACTTATGCCCATTTCCCAGGCAGTGGAACCAGCCCATTTGCAGACCTGGGAGGTCCTAACACCACCCTCAGACTCTGGGTAAACCTCTCCAGAGGTAGAGAACCACTCCTAGGGCAGATGGGAGGGCTGGGCTGCCTGTCCCACCATGCTAGAAGGGTCTTTAGCAATCCCCACCAAACAAAGGGCAAGATCTGTAGCTCTCATGTGACCCCCTTCCCTCCCTGGCTGCAGTGGGTCCCTCCCAGTCAATGCTTGGGGGCTTGGACCAGGGATCCACAGTAGTTCCTGTCTTGGACCTAAGCATCATCCATTAAGGTTTCAGGCCACCTTATATACTTTCTGGACCCTTCCATCAAGACAACATAGCAACACTGCCCTGAAAACAGTGGAAGATTGGACAATGGGCAGGTAGCCATGGCCTCAGCTTGGGAATGTGCCCCTGGCAGGAGGGAGAAGTTCCATGAGGTGGGGGTCCCAGAAGGACACCAGGGGCAAGACAGGAGCCTGGAGCTGTAACTTTATTTCATGCCTTCCTGTTTCGTGGCCACCCAGGGCAGAGGGAGGCAGGTCTGGCTGTGGCGTGAGTCCCGTCACTGTGGGGGCCAAGCTGGGCTGGCACAGGCAGAACCCACTGGCTTCACATTTTCCTGGGTAGGTGTGGGCACCAAGGGTGGGGCAGGCAGGAGGGCACATGGTGACCACATCCTCGAGGTGGCTGAGTATCTGGGTGGTGCCAACGGGATGTCCCAATCAGACCTGGGGTGAGCATGGGAAGTGGATAGGTTTTCCAACAGACTGGGAGTAACAAGTGACCAAGGCAGTGTGACAAGGGGGCTGGCGAGATTCGGAAAGAGTAACAAGTCTCTCACGCACACATATACAGACATGCGCGCACACATACACACACACACACACACACACACACACACACACACACACACACACACGGGCCAGTAAAAACAAGAACTAACCTCAGGTCATCACACAACCCTCGGTCGGCTTCCGGTTGCATCAAAGTCAGACACACTGGAGCGACTACCCCGCCCAAAGTCAATGAATATTCCCTCGGAGTCTGAGTCCACCGACTCCAGGATCTGGTCCACCAGTGTCTCAGGGCTGGAGGTGGGTGGGGAGCCGTGGGCTGGGCCCTGCTCGGAAGAATGGGCAGGGGGGTATAGTCTGCTGGGGCAAGGCCCTGAGTGGGGTGTCGGAGAGGACCTGAAGGTCCCCGAGGGGCCCTGACCAGGTGTGTCCACAAAGCCCTGGGGCTCAGGACAAGATGTCATCTCGGAGACTGAGTGCCTGCGGATGCTTGTACCACCGGCCGCTGTACCCTCAGCTTCATGCTCAGCCACGGGATTGAGCAGGGGCGTGTTGTAGCTTTTGGATCGCACCACCGGGTTCTTGGCTAGGACATCCCCGGAGCGGGAGCGGCGCAGGAGCCGTTTCTCTGCAGGAAAAGACACAGTCATAGACACCAGGACGGTGGCTGCTGACCCACGTGTTCCCTGCATGTCCGAAGTCCCACCTCTGGGCAGAGGCTCCTCATCAGGTGTCTAACCCACAGATGGGCCAGCCAGTAAAAGGCTCAGTGGCCGCTAGTTCTGGATCAGCCTCACCAGCCCCTGGGTTCAAGCCTCCTGCCCTAGCTAGAGGACTTTAACTAACATTCCCAGCCTTGGCCTGAACAGGCAGTGAAGGCCTCAGCTGCCCAGGTTCAAATCTGCAAGCTGTCAGTTACCCGTGAATGACCCCATGACAGGCATACATCCACGTCTCCCTTTCCTCACCCACGGAAGCCTATGGATCTTAGGGACCAGTCTTCCCTAGGCCATGTCGGAGTAAGGCTCCCAAGCAGGACCCTGCAATGCCCCACAGTAACCATGGGGTGGCACTCCTGAGTGCAGCAGGCTCTGTGAGGGAGCCTCTCTGGATCAGGAGGGGTTGCCTTCTTGACTGCCAGGTATCCTGCTGTCTACAGACAAATAGGTCCTGGGAGAGGCAAAGCTCTCCAGCTCGAACTTGCCTGAGCTGAGGCACACCTAATACCAGGGCAACCCAGATGATGGGGAGCCTTCCAGGTGACCCCATCTTGTCTGTTCCTGCGATCTAGTCTGTATCCCCTCCTGCAACCCCGTGGTCACCATGGGGACTCACTGACAACGTCTTCCCTGCTAGACCAGAATTACGAAGAAGGGGTGTGGCTTGGTCTCTGGGCTGGGATGCAGAAGGTGCCCAGATACCACTGAACAAGGGATGACATGGCTGGCCTCCGAGGGACCCACCAGACTCTATAGGGCCTCCTTTTACCTCACCCCTCCCTGAGCCAGTACAGACGTGACATCTAGGGGATGCGGGAGGCTCCCCGCATGGTGGGTCTCTGTGGAGAGCCATTGCTGTTCCAGGGGTTACCTGCTACCCTCCAACACCCTCTGCCCTGGGGGTCCAGGGGTGCACACAGCAGGGCCAGGCAGGCGCACAGGACAGACAGGCTGTAGCTGGTCTCCTGGTTTTGCCCACACTATCGTATCGCTCCAGCCCCAGCCCCAGGCAGCACCCACCAAGAATGCAGGAATGGGTGCAGGACCCTTCGCTGGAGTAGAGGCCGTAGGTGCCCAGGTACGGTGACACCACCTTCTGGATCAGTGTCTCCAGGCGCAGGTAGTCCTCGGTCACACCCCTAGACTCATGGACTCCCTGCAAGAGAGTGGGGAGTCACACACCCTGGTCCCGCAGCAGCTTGTCTCTGCCCCATCTACCCCAGGCAGGAGGATGCTGCTGCAGTCTCCTTCCTAGCTGGGCACCCTATAGTCACATAGATGATAGACACTGAAGTCACAGGCACCGGTGTCCTGGGGGTCCTGGGTGGTCCTTTGAGAGACAGCTGGCTTGACCCAGGAGTACCAAGCTTATCACCGGAGGTCCTACACTCATTCACTGCTCACGCCTAGGGGGTGGGGAGGGTGGGGTCCAGGCAGGAAAGGCTGCTCATAGGGTGAGACAGGTCCCCAGCCCATATTCTTTTTGAGATCAGGTCTCATTATGTATTCTAGGCTGCCTTGACCATGAGATCCCCCTGCCTCTGACTCCCGAGAGCTGGGATTGCAGATGTGAGCCACCCGACCATACATTTCTGTGAATTCTATGAAGTCACATCTCCCCTGCCTACGGTGCAAGTGAGACTCACACACGGCCGTTAGTGTGACTGGCACCCCACCCCTCGGACCCCCAGCAGGAGCTGTGATTCTGGGGGTGAGGCCGGGATACACAGCAGACCCTCAACACACCTCAGGGGAACTTAAGACTTGAAACAGTGAGGGCCAGGTTCACCTGGGGGGCCAAGGTGAGATCAGGGGACAAGTTCACAGAAACCTCAGGGCAAGGTCACTCAGGCTGGGGAGAGGTGGCAGGCGGAACAACGGAAGCCTCTGTGGTATAGAGGCTATGCTGGGATGTAGAACCACAGCAGCCAGCAGGGGGCAGCACCGCTCTGGGCATTGGTTGCCTCCTTCAATGGAATCTCAGATCCCAGGATCAGAGACCTGATCTTCCATTGCTCCCAATTCCCTTCACACCCTGCCAGGCTGGATCCAGTCTACGGAAATCCCACCCAAAGACTTGCACTTGGCTTCATTCCAAGGTGACCACAGCCTCCAACCCAGGGCAGCTGAAAACCCTGGTCCCTGGAAACCCTGGAAACCCTGGAAACTACAGCCTGTTCCTTGCTCTGAAATCTTTATCATTTCCTTCTGCCCCTAAGCCCAACCCCACAAACCCTAATTTTAAGAGGATTCCACAGGTCTGGGGGGCTCATTACAACAAGGCTTTTGGTGCCTATGAGAATCCAAGTGAGGTCGTACTCCCATGAACAGTAAAATGTTTCCCTGTTAGTAAAATGGGGGGCAGTTGGTGATACCTCTAAAGTCCTGTAAGGATGTCAAGCTGTGAGAACTCAGTAAGGTGAGCTGGCAACTGTAAGGGGATGTGCCAGATGGAGGACACGTGCTGTTGGCAGTCCTCTGTCCTGGGGCAGGCCCCTTTACTCCAGCCATACTTGCTGGCCGCTGTCTCTTCTCCTAGCCCTGTTGACCGAGTCCATCTGTACCAAGTATCTGGAACCAGTTTGTGTGTGTGTGCGTGTGCGTGTGCGTGTGCGTGCGTGTGCGTGTGTGTGTGCAGCCCTGGTAACTGATGGAACATACAGCCAGCTGCTGCCATCAATAAGTAATTCTGGTCTGGTTCACATCCCGGCCCCAAAGCCTCACTTGCCCATTCCCTGCCCAAGAGTCGGTCTCTGTCATTTCCCAATCTCAGAGTCTTGGGTCCCCAAACCCTCGACCCACCTGCAGTACCAGCAGCATCTGTGCGATGGCAGGGGGGACACGAGCGTGGGAGCGGGCCAGCGCGTCCTCCAGCTTCACGCTAAGGGTGATGGTGTTCCGGAAATGCAGCAGGGCAAGCTGGCGCACTGACGGCTCCTTGCCCTGTGGACACGGGAAGAGGCATGCTTGCCCCACGGCGATCACGCAGTTTTATCTCTCTATCCCGGGTCAGGGGTGGGATGTGGGAACAGGCCCAGTGACACCCAGCCCTTTCCCCATTCTCTCTCCCACACGAACCCTGCCACAAAGATCTAAGATTCCCTGAGGCCTCCCCTAGTAGGGCTTTCTCTATCATGCAGAGCCTCGCTCCACCACTAGGCTTCCCTAGTCCAGGCCTTACGGACCTTGAGGAGTCACAAGCATGCCAGGCCTGTAAGGGACAGCCAGGATCAATGCAGAGGGGGCACCAGGCCTGGAGTCCTCCTTCCTGGAGCCATCCCAGGACCCCACAGTGTATCTTGGACAACTGGGACTCCCCTCACTCCCATGCACCCAGCCATATACCTGCACGGGGTAGAAGATGGCCTGCAGCGTGGGTAGCACGTCACTGAAGAAGAAATCCCAGGTCTCCGCCAGCGAGTCTAGCAGCTTCTGTCCTGTGGGCAAGAGAAGCCATCACGGTGGCATGTCCTGAACACACCAGCAGACACACTCAGGACAAGGAGCTAAGCAAGAGTGGGAGGTCCCTGAGGCCCCGCAGAGGCCTCACCTGTCCCAGCACAGGGCGGCTCTCTGCCACCCTGAGCCCCTGTGAAGTGTGTTCATGACACGGCCTACAATCTAGAGCAGATGGGACAAAGTGAGACGAAGCCATGAAGATGCTCAGCCCAGGTGATGGTGAATCCTGGCGGCTGACTCCTGTCCTGCCTTGAGTATGCACAGGCGCTGGGCACAGACCCATTCACCAATCTGTCTCTTCCCCATCCATCCATCCACTTAGAGAACTCCTAATTGGGACAGGCCCGATCTTGGGCACTGGGGACAGTCAAGTCCCCAGTGGCACCAGACACCCCTTACTATGCGGCAGGGAAGCAGGATACAGAATACAGGATACAGATACTTGTGGGAGATGGGGCAGAGGATTGGCAGGGAGGACTTCCTGGAGTTGTCTGGTGTCTAAGCTGGCTTCCCAGATGGATATATGTTGGGCATGGGGCACCCACCCCTTCCCCATCTCTACCAAAAGCAGCTGTGTGGGGAACTGGAGTTTGGACAAGCTGTAGGAACTCAGCCGGCCTCAGGCAGAGTGGCATCACCTGTCAGGTGGGTAGCCCTTGGGGAATGGGGCAGTTAGGTGCCCCAAGATGACTCTGTGGCTTGCTGACTTAGGAATCTGTCACCAGGGTAGACAGCAGAGATGGGTCTAGGAGTGAACAGGCCCAGCATGTGTCCCATTGGCCTCTGCTGCCATGTGGGTCTGAGCAGGGAGGGAAAAGGGTCCTTGATTGCGGGCCAGCCTGCCTGTCTCCAGGTTTCTATGGGAACCAGGAAGCCTGTGAAGGTCTTCGCCCAGTTTTCCAGTACTTGTGGAACTTTCCCTCATGGAAAGCCCCAGGTCCATACAGAGTTAAGATGTTAGGGGGGCACAGAGAGCTAGCCCCAGGAGCAGGCTGGCCTCTGTGTGTGGCCGCCCAGGGCTGCCTGCTGGCGGACAGCTCTAACATTCCCGGGTGGCCCACACCTGGCTCCAGGGGCAAGGAGGCCGCAGGAATGCCCGGGGCAGGCGGATGCTCACAGCCCCTCGGAGCCCTGCCTGAACACAAAGTCCCTTCAGTTCCTGCCATCATACAGGAAGAAAGGCTGTTCAGTCCTGGCTGGCTGTGGGGTGGCCCTGGGCGCCGGCCAGGGCAGTGTGCCACCAAGTGAAGGTCGTCCTCCAGCCCACAGGGCGGACACACCACAGAAAGCAGATGTTGTAAAACACAGAATCCAGGCCCCAGCTGGAGCTGTGTGCTGTCAGAGACCCGGAAGGATAGCCTGGCCCCTGGCTGGGTTCTCGCCTGGGACTGCGGACTGGGCTGTGTGCTGGGGAGTGGGGTCAGCAGAGGCTAAACTCAGACACGAAAGGTGAAGCCGTGCTCTGTGGCTGTGGCGGAGCCCTACAAAGTTCTTCCAGACAGACCTAGTGGCACCTAATGGGGACTTATCCTAGGGACAGAAGAAGTCCCCAGGGATCGATGACAAGGTACCCTGTGTTTGCTGCTGGGATGACACAGCCAGTGAGTGTGTGTACCCTGCCTGGGCCCCAGGCAGAGGTGGAGCAGAACGCTTTGGTGAAGGGCCAGGCTGAGGCTCCAGGACGGCTTTCACCGGGCGGTTAGGCTCTCCCTTCTTCGGCCCCAGCGTGGTAAGAACCAACAGAAGAGAGGCAGGCGGGTACGGCTCCAGTCCACAGGCACACAGGGAAGGCTCCAGTGACCACAGAGGAATGATGGAGGTGGGAGCTGATGTTGTATAGCTGGGGCTGAGGCATGGGCTCAGGCAGGCAGGCAGGCAGGGATAGAGGAGAGAGTGCTGTGCACAGTCACATCAACTACACTCAGTTTGGCTCCTGGGTGAGAAGATACAGACCCCAGCCTCAACAGCCACAGACCCCTGTGGCCGCCTGGGTGCTGAGCTGGGAAGCTTTCGTGAGGTGCCAGGCTATTCCCCTGCAGAGTACTCTTGCTCCAGCTGGCTGCCGACTCCAGGAATCACCCAGTTTGGGAGATGATGACTGAGGCCTCCCTAGAGGCTGCAGAGAGGGGACAGGTACCCAGGCTTGGACTGCCTTCTGGAGGCTACCACCTGCTTCCACGTGTCCCCTCTAGCAGTTATGGGCTGAGGGCATGGCTAGCTTCAGGGAGCAGTCTCAAGGGGATGAACTTCATGAGGTGGAGGGAGGCTGTGATGGCTGGCCCACAGGGCAGCGGTGTGGCTGGCCCACAGGGCAGCGGTGTGGCTGGCCCACAGGGCAGCGGTGTGGCTGAAAGGGATGGATAAGCTCCCGAGCAGACCACACTTGGAGGCCATATCCAGGGGCTGCAACCCAGCTCTGCCCAGCTTTCCCTGTGTGTGAGGATGGAGTCACCCTTCCTTCCCCGGTTTCCCTTCACCTGACATTCATCACACTGGCCTGTGGACATCTGGTTTATGTCTCAGTCCTCACTTGTGAGTTCCTGCAGGGTAGGGCCTGTATCTTTTCCATCTCCAGGTTGAGGGAGACTCCCTGGAGCCCTGGCTTGGACACAGCTCCTTCTTTGCTCCAGTGGTTAAGAAAGGGGCCCTGAGGGCAGGGCGGCTGCAATATGTGATATTCACGGTGTATTCACGGATGCCTGGAGCTTGCCGCTTTCCCTGGGCCTAGAAGTTGGACAGTACTGTCCTCTCCTCTTTCCCTGGGAGGCCCTGAGTCACAGTCATGAGGCTCCACAGGCCTCACAAAGCTGCCCTTCTCCCAGGACCTGGCTCCCCTGGGCTGCGTTGGTGGGAGGCACAGGCACCTCAGGGAATGTGCTGAGTCAGGCGGGTCAGGAGGGTGTGGGAGGCCTCTTCCTCAGGTGCCAAACATTCACAGCGCCATCCTAGGCTTGCCTACTGCCTCCCCCCGGGGAAGCCCCCTGGACCCTGGCTGCCTTGAACCTCCTGCCCACACCCACTGTTTTCAGGCTCTCTCATTCTTGCCTTGGCCTGCCTTATCTGACTGACACATGTAGGAAGATGGCAGGGAACAGGGAGTCCCTTGGAGTGAAGCAGGACTCCGGGCCTCAGCCCCCCCCCGATCTCTGAAGCGGGCTGACAGCCATGTGCCCAGGGCCCAGCACTTGGAGGAGGGACCTGGAGCCGTGAGTGACTTGAGTGGGCCACCGAAAGCCAGCCGTCTGCTCTGTACCTGAGCTGCCATGTATCCAGTGCAACCCTAACAGGACTAAGCGTTTGCGGCTCCTTCCCAGGGCTTGCTGGGGCGCCCGCCCAGTCAGCAGAAGCAAACCAACCAGGACATAACCTAGTGGAGAACACGCCGGGTGCGTGGCCCATGGGAGACGCTCAACAAACGTGTACAAAGCCCACAGCCAGCCAGCACAGAGCCAGGCCACAGTAAACGCTTTTTTCTTTGTCTTCCTTCCTTCCTTTGTCCTGTCTCTCTTCTTTATTCTTATGGGTTTTTTGTTTTGTTTTGGTTTGGTTTCTGAGACAGGGTTTCTCTAGGTAGTTCTGGCTGTCCTGGAATTCATTATGTAGTCCTGGAATTCATTATGTAGAACAGTGAATTCATTCACTGTGGCCTTGAACTCAGAGATCTGCCTGCCTCTGCCTCAAGGTGTGCGCCACCACCAGCCGGCCATAGTAGGTACTTATACAGAACACTCAAATCCTGAAGCCAGCATAGGTACTAGTATACAGAAAGTAGGTGCCTATAAAATGCTCACATCCTGAAGCCAGTCTAGGACCCAGTAAATGCTGCTCACCAAATGTGCTTACCAAAGTCAGCACAGAGCCTGGCACACAGCAGGAATTTGCAAAGGAGAATCTGTATATACCAAGTCTTCTGGACACTAGCCATACTATATATAATGCCAAGCTCCTCCTGGGACCCCCAAGACTATCAGATGCCAGGGGCCTTGAGTGCTGGGACCAGGAGGTCAAAGCCCTCTGCCCTATGATGCAGGTTGAGCCAAGCAGGGAGGCTAGCTGGGACTGTGGAGCCCGAGAAAGGACTAGGGGTGCCCTGACATCGCACCAAGGCTTGAATTCTGCTTCAGTCCTTTCCCTGTCGTGTGGCTGTGGACCAACTGCCTACTGTCTCTGTTGTCCCTGTGTGGGGACAATGACCTTTGTCATCATCTACTTCTCTGGTCTTTGGATATTCACAGACTCAACATGGTAACTGTCAGACAATGGGATGGGGTTCCTGTTATGGTCTGGATATAAGGTAGGCCCTGAAATAGCTCATGTGTTGATGGTGTGGTCCGTAGCCAGGAGCGCTGTGGCGGTAACTGGATCATGAGGGCTCTGGCTTCATCACAGGATGGACTCACTGACTAGTTCAGAGTTAAATGTGCCCCTTAGGAGGTGGGGCTTGGTGGGAGGAAGTGGGTGGCATGTGTGATGGTTCGTACTGGCTGTCAGTTCAACAGGCTTCAGAACAGGGGATCTATCCGCCCTGGGTATGTCTATGAGGGAGTCTCCAGGCTGGGTTAACTGAGGTGAGAAGACCTGCCCTCAATGTAGTCAGCCCAATCCAGACGTTGGGGTCCTGGACCGAGTCAAAAGGAGAATGTGAGCTGAGCATTAGCATTCACCTCTCTGCTTCCTGGCTGTGGGTGCCATGTGACCTAGCTCCTCATGCTCCTGCCAGCAGGCTTTCCCCATCATGATGGGCTGCAGGCTCCGAATCCCCTTCCTCAAGCTGGTTTTGCCATGGCAACGAGAAACCTAACTGATGCACTGCAGGGGAGGCCAGGGAAGGTACGCTTGGCCTCTGGTCTCTTCCTGTCTCTCTGCTTCCTGGCCACAGAGGCTGGTCCTGGTGAAGAGCTATGCTAAGCCACACGCTCTGACGTGACGCTGGCCTCATCTCGGGCTCAAACGTGATGAGGTCACCACCCACAGGGACGGTGCCCCTCCGCTTCATCTCACTACCCACGGGGACTGTCCCTGGACCTCTGACACTGTGAGTCAAAATAAACCCTGTCCCTCTGTGACGGTTGGCTCTGCCGACTTGGCACAGCCCCCAACCACACAGCAGGAGACTCAGTCAGAAATGATCTGGATCAGGTTGGCTTATGGGTCTCTCTGCGGGGCACTGCCTTGATCGCCAATTGATCTTGGAAGACCCAGCCCTCTGGTGGGTGGCACCGATTCCTAGGCAGGGGGTCCTAGGCTGTGTAAGAGAGAGCTGAGCACAGCAGACAGCGGCGTGCACGTGTTCATCTCTCTCTGATCTTGACTGTGACTGTGCCTGTGTGGTGCCCCTGCCATGAGGGCCTACACCCCGGAATTATAAGCTAAATAAACCTTTTCACCCCCAAGTTGCTTTTTGTAGGGTTTTTATCACAGCGACCGAGATGAAACCAGGGTACCCTTTTAAAGCGTTGGCATCGTCACGGTGGTGCAAAGCAGAGGGGCACCGTTCCTGTGGGTAGTGAGGTGAAGCAGAGGGCCTCTCCCTGGGGTTGCACAGCCTTTCTGGGCTCCCAAGTATGGGGGACAGACTCTCCCCAAGGTCCCCTCTTTTTCTTGTTGCTCAAGGCTGTGTCTTTCCTTTTCAGCCATCTTAACTAGAGAACGCCCCCTCCCTCCGAGCACCTGCCATGCCTCTGTCCCAGAACATCAACCAGAACCAGGACGCAGCCAGGCTGGCTACATTCAGCCCCCAGACTCACCCTCGTAAAATCGTATCTTGTCACGAAGGATCACCATGCCCTTTGTGAGCAGCTGGTTCTGAAAGCGAACAGAGGTGCCATCACCGGCCTGCAGCTATCCCAGGTGGCCTGGCCCCCAGGACCCCCAGGAATCCACCAACAAGCAGCCAACATGAGACCCACCCTTCTGTCACACAATCAAAACCCCGTGCACCCTGAGAAGCAAGCCTTGAGCCTGCTTGGGCTGTCACAGGTCATATGATAGAGTGACATCCTTTGAGAGACAGACCAAGCCTTCCTCCGTGGCAAGGCCCACACACCTGCAGGTACTCAGTGAAGAAGGACCCCAGCTCTGTCTTCAGCAGCTGCCTGTTGGGGAGGAGAGATGAGAATGAGTTGAGATCACAGGTGCTGGTGAGGGCTGGAGTCATACGGGCAGCCAGGGACCCACCTGCTCGACACAGCAACACAAGCGGCCCAAGAGAACATTTCCCTCTGTGACCCACAGAGCAGCTAGCTCATCATGTATTTCCTCTAACCATCCCACAGAAGAGAAGCCTGAGGGTCCCAGTGGGACCATGACATCTTCTACTTCCTCAGACACCTGCAGGCCTGACCCCGCAACACTGGGCTCTTCTATCTTCTACCTGCCTGACTCCCAAAGCCCTGCTTTCCCAAGCGGCTTTCCCTCTATTCCGAGTCTTCACAGAGCCAGCGGCAGGCAGGCACTGACTGGGGCTCCAGTATACAGCTGAGGCAGGAGCAGCTGAGAGAGGTCAGCTGCTGTCCCCAGGCCACACAACCCATGTCAGATCAACACAGGAATCTCTGCTGTGAACAGTGCTGCTCGTCTCCAGGGCAGTCGTTTTCCGCCCGGATCCCATGCTGAGAAAATATGGCTACGGTGAAGGTTTGAACGAGAATGTCCCCCATGGGCTCCGGATCCTTGAGCACTAGGGTCCCCAGATGGTGACGCTGTTTGAGGAGCTTGTGGAACCTTTTGGAGGTGGAGCCTTGATAGAGGAATTAAGTCGCTGGGGGCAGACCCCACTTCCTGTTTATTCTCTGCTTGAAGCTTAGGTTTGGAGATGGGAGCTCTCGGCTCCCTGCTCCCGCGGCCAGGGCCACCCCTTGATGACTGCCCACCATGACGGTCTCTTATCCTTCTAGAGTGTAAGCCCAATAACTCTTCCTTCCGTTAGTTGTTTCTGGTCACAGCATTTAATCACAGCACCGGGAAGGAAACCGCTGCAGTCACTGACATGCACAGTCTTCATGTGCTGAGCCAAACCCAGCAGGGGTCCTACCTTTGCTGACCGCTGATGTAACCAGTCCTGGGTTACAGGCAGCCCTCGCCCATCATGGTTCCGATACACACCAACCCTAGTTACTCAGGCTTAAACACCATCCCCAACAGCATGGTCCTCTTCCAGTGGCCACAGCAAGTGATTACAGTATAAGCTCCTCCCCATCCTGATGGGTGGCTGAGTGTGGCACTTTCTTCAAAGCTGCTCTGTCTTTGGTCTTATAGATCATCTGTCCTCCAGTTCACACTCAACCCAGCACGTGGCTCCATCAACTCCTAGTCTCCCAGGAACAACCCCCACAAGACACTTTATAAAAACAGACAAGCCAGGTGCTGGAAAGGTGACTCCTGGCATGTCCAAGGCTCAGCCCTCAGAAATGCGAACAACAGCAATAAGGACCAGCCACACAGGAACTGGAAACACTGGAGGGCGAAAACTCCAAACACAAACACAAAAACATAACAGAAAGAGGAAGTGACCAGCAGACGTGAAAGCAAGCCCTCCCACACATGCACAGGAAGCTGAAAATGCCCACATCCAGAACATACTCGCACAACTGGGTGCAGAGGTACACATCTGCCGGGACACTGTGGTCATCCTTGGCTATCTATCGAGTTTGTAGGCCAGCCTGGGCTACAAGAGATCCTGTGTCTCAAAAAAGCCAAAAATGCACCCACTCCATCTAATGAGCACAACAGCACGGGTGGGCCCACCTTGGACATGCTCAGAACACAGTCTCCTGTGGGTCCAAACTGACACAAAGCGCCGACTCGGGGAATTTACTGACTCTTGTACGGAGCATGAAAAACAATGGTTGTGTTCCAAGTGAGAGGCTCTGGACAAGCCAGGCTGCAGAGCCACTCCGGAATGTTCCTCCATTCATTTTAGACAGGGTCTTGCTAGGTAGCTCAGGCTGGCCTCCAACTCACTATGGGGCCTAGGCTGGTCTTAAACTCACAGCGATCAAGTCTTCAGGAGGAGAAACTGAAATACGGAAGGCATGAAAATGTGGTCAGAGTCAGGACCAGGGACCCAAAATTGACTCCCTGGTCTTGTGGATTAAAAAGGCAACCTGGGGGCTGGAGAGATGGCTCAGAGGTTAAGAGCACTGACTGCTCTTCCAGAGGTCCTGAGTTCAATTCCCAGCAACCACATCGTGGCTCACAACCATCTGTAATGAGATCTGGTGCCCTCTTCTGACTTGTAGTCATACATGCTGTATACAAAATAAATAAATAAATCTTTAAAAAAAAAAAAAAAAAAAAAAAGGCAACCTGGCCAGGCATGGTGGTGCCAGCTGTAACGCTAGCACTCGGGGTAGGCAGAGGCAGGAGGACTGCTACAAAAAGCTTTCCTCAACAGTAAACCCTCTGTGCTCTGAAGAAAGTCAAGGAAAAAGGGGAAGGGAGATGGGATTCGGAGAAAAGATTGAAGGTAGAGCCCAGCAAGGGTTTAGACTTCACCATGTGCTATGGAGGCAGTAGCATCATGAATGTGCTGGGCTGCATTCATAGCTATCCAGAGATGCATGTGGCCTGAGGGCTGCAGGCTTGACACACCTGCTAGAGCGAGAAACTCACAGCAAAGACAGCTCTGTGACATGTGGCCAAGGATGCAAAGCAATGCTTCTCCAAAGAAGATGCACAAGCAGCCAGCGAGCCTCAAGAAGATGCCCGACACCATTAGTCACCAAGAAATGCCAACCACAGCCAGAAGGAGCCACTGTGGCACCCCCAGTGCTGTGAGAATCTCAACCAGAAAGAAATGCAGTGAGAAGCTGGGACTCACCTCACTGCTCACACTCTGGGAAGCAGGGAGCTCCCCCAAACTAAAACCCTGGCACCCAGCAGATCCAGACATACGCTAAGGAAAACAGTATCACACATCCTTGTAAAATCTTGAACAAAGAACCTGGGTACACATCCACAATCCTGGCACTCAGGAGGCTGAGGCAGGAGGATCTCAAGTTCAATGCTAGTCTAGGTTGTAGAGATCATCAGATCCACCCTTTTTTTCTTTTTTCCAAGATAGGGTTTCTCTGTGTAGCTTTGACTGGAATTAAAGGTGTGCCACAGCCACGGGCCACACAGGTCACCAATGAAGCAAACTCAATGATACCACAAATCCAGGCTCCACCATAGCCACGGGCCACACAGGTAACCAGAGGAAGCAAACTCAATGTTACCACAAATCCAGACTCCGCCACAGCCACGGGCCACACAGGTAACCAGAGGAAGCAAACTCAATGTTACCACAACTCCGACACAGAAGCACCAAGGGAATGGCCGCATGCTGTCATGAAATGCCATTCATATGGAATGTCCAGAAGAGGGAGTCAAGAGGGACAGGAAGGGGACATGCCTGCCAGGCTGGGGTGAATAATGAATGGGCTGTTAAAGGGGAGGGACTCTTCTGGAGTGATGCAGAATGAACTGGGAGTTTGGGGATAGTCCTACAACCACAGACGCACACCCAACACTGACCAGGGCATCTTCAGGGCAACTTTATGGTGTAGGAACTGCACTTGGATAAAAGTTGACACAGCCATGTGCACAAGCGGCAGGTCCGTCGAGGACAGTGACCTGCTGGTGTCTGGGGAGCACCGGGCAGGCTACACTCTGCACCACAGGCATGCAGCTGGATCGATCTACTATCTGGGTTTATGAAGCCATACTCCGTTTATCTCACATGGTGGATGTGACCAAACTACTCGAGGCTCTATGTACTTAAGTATGTGTACACACATACATATATAAAGGGAGAGAAGAGTGATACAGATGGCGGGGACTTCAATTGTGACTGTCCCTATCTAGATACAGCTGACAGACCCGTCTATGTCACCGACTAGCCCTTACTATGGTGGTGGGTAACTTTTGTATGAAGCCATCAGTGGCTCCTCCATCCATAGACTCTCTCGCTGGATCAAAGCCAACGACCAGCTACGCATTTGAAGCACAATCAGCTGCAGTTAATTTTCATTTGAGGCAGGGTCTCAAATATGTTGGGATGGATTTGAACTCGATATATAGCTGAGAGTGCTCTTGAACTCCTGACCTTCTGTGTCTGCCTCTCCAGCGCTAGGATTACAGGCGTGAACCACTGACGTACTGGGGTGGGAACTCAGGTGTCGTGTGTGCTCAGCAAACACTCCACCTCTGAGCCACATTCCCAGCCTTAGTCCTAGTTAATTTAATGTGGAGGAGAGCCAGAGTGGGAAGGGACACTTCTGAATGGCCGTGGACCCTGGAGTTGGGACCTGAGTTCTAGCTCAGTCACCAAGCCACTCAACTGCCAGCCGGTGACCGTCCATAAAATACAGGCAGTAAGGCATGGCCCCGAGGGCTGTGGTGAGTGGAGGGGTTCAAGGTACCGCAAGTGCTCAGCACACGCTAGCACAGCAATGGGCTTCACTGAGGGAGCCCATTGCCATTATGGAAGGATTCCTGGCGTTTTGCTTTGCGCTGGTATAAAAAGAGCCACCCCAAGTTTATCTGACAGCCCTGAACCCAGCATCTCCCATCACCCTGACTTGTACCCGCTTTCTAGTCAGGAGCTGGGACACAGGGTGGTTCCTCTAAACCTCTACCCCTCCAAGCCATCCTAGGGAGCAGGGTAACCCCTAAGGGCTGGAGGCATCTTAGAGAGGAGACGGCAGCGCCACTCAAAAGTGCCAAGAGAGATGCCCAGCGCTGGATTCCACCTACTCGGTGGATTTAAAGATGTCCCTTTTGCCCTCTGCCCCCAGCAGATTTTTTTTTTTCCCGTGTGTGATGCTGGTGACATTATCTGGGCCTCACACATGCCAGGCAAGAGCTCTTCACTGGTCCACCCCAGACCGGCCAGCCAGCCGACTGTTTAGATTTGTTGTAAGAAACTCATTAGGAAAATGGGTCCCCTGGGCTGGCCAGATGCACTTCGAATAACGGGGTACCACAAGTAAGCAACAAGCTTGTAAGGGCCTGGGGAAGCACCCTACTCCGTTCGGTTTGACCCTGGCCAGCCCCCTTTGTGCCCGGGGCCTCAGTTTACCCACATAAGGGCCCTTTCAGGTTGGGTGTAGGGTCGCTGACCCCTGTCCCATTGACACCCTGCCTTCGCTACCAAGGGAAAGGTTCACCACTGACTTTTCCAGACACGCTCTGAATCCAGGGACAGGATGCTCCGGGTCAGGGCTGGAGGTTAATAGCGCAGAGTGGGGACACCTCACTGCACCAGCTGTGTGACCGTGGGGAGGCAGCAGGACCACGCTGAACCTCTAGCCTCTTGCACTACAAATGCAAGCTCTCTCAAAGCGGCCGTGGCCTGGTTTACGGCGGTCGTCTGAGTGCGTTTCTCCGTCCACAGCTGCCTCACAACTTGGTTCCCAGCTAGTCACAGGAAATGAGGGGTGTTCGTGGCTGGACTGCTTCCTGAATGGCAGTGGGTCATTAAGCAGGTGGGCCCTTCCTCTCTGACAGAATAAATATCCTTCTGTAATGCACCGGGGCGGCAGGGAATGTGGACATTATCTCAAGCCGCTAAGTTCCACCCTGCAGGCCCGAGAAGGGCGTCCCCAGGAGGGTGGGGTGTGGACCTTCCCTCCTCCACCCCCCACCCCCAGCCACACAGATGGGTTTCCCAGACAGGACTGGCTTGTACTCACCGGACACCCTCGTTGAGGATGAAGAGCTCCTGGTCGGGCAGCCCCTTGCGCTGGAAGACAGCGATCACGCCGTTATGGATGCTGTGGGCAGACAGGAGAGTGGTCACCCAGAGGCACTGGGCCCCTCACTTCCCTTTGGGCCTGCCTCCTCCCACCTATCCAGTCCCATCCAGTCCTACTCAGCCCCTCCTGAAACCATGGGTGTGCCCATGCCCTACCATAAGTCCAGGTCTGGACTCTTGATACAAAGTCTGGCTCACCGGAACCGGCCAGGCATCCTGCGGGAACTGCCGTCCAACCTGGGCAGACCTTCCCTTCCTTCCTGCACGCTTTTAATCCTCCCAGCCGGGCCAGATACTCGGGGCCCTCTGCATCTCTTCCCTCTCTGCTTTCCCTGTGTCTGCCTAACTTTGCCTCCACACCCCAATACTTCCAGCCCCATGATGGAGCCCCATAGCCACTGGGGTCCCAGCCCCCACAGCCCTTTCCTATGTCAACAGTGACACTGACCCTGTCCAGGCCCTACTGATTAAAACTCTCTGAAGCAGGAAGCTGCAAACACTTTTCTCTAAAGGGCCATAGGGTTAGCTGTTAAAGGTTTGAGGCCTACCCAGCCTCCTGCAGCTACCCAGCTATCTGCTGAAGTTAGGAATGTGGGACTGTATACCGATAAAACTTTATTGTTCGTACATCAGGTGATGGATTGGGTTTGGCCCATGGGCTTGCTTCAGCAGCCCCTGAGCTGAACCTGCCTAGGCATTAACCTAGGCTGTCATGGCTGAGCCAACAGCCCTGGAGCCCCCCACATAGCAGTTGACCATCATCTCCTAGGCCAGTCCAGGTTGAGTCTCTGCCCAGCTCCCCACCCACCCCTTGGGTCCTGCACTCACTCCAGCCTGATGGATGGGCTGAGTGAGGAGCAGGCCTGGGTTTGCATCCTGTTCTGGCTTCCGGACCTTGGTGTTCCTTTCCATATAAATGAACTGAGTGAACATGGCGTCTACATCCCGGGGGACTACAAGGCCTCTTTAGAGATGGGTACTCAAGATACCTGGCCACATCCAACCCAGGGGCCACTCACTGTATGTGGTCTCTTTGGTGTTCTAAGCACCAACATGTGGGTGGGGACAGTCAGACCACAATTAGAGAAGAAAACACTGAGGCTTAATGAGGCCAAGGGACACATCTATTCAGCAGGACCAGAACTGAGATGAAGCAATGGCTCAGTCTTCCTGTCCCTCACGTTTCAGGTACACAGGTTAGACCCTGATCCTTTTGACTCTCCCTAGCTCTGAGGCTCTGTGGGCTTTCCAAAGCCCCCCAAAAACCAAACAGAAACAAACAAACAAATCCTGTCAGCATGGAGAAAGGGAGGATAGAAAGGGCCAGAGGACTTCACATGATCTGTCATCCTGAAACACAGAAGTGAAACCCCGCCTATCTCAACAACAGCCTCCTGGCCAGAGTGGCAAGCCCAGTTAGGACATCTGCAGATGGTCCCCAGGAAACCACAGGCACGGAGGGACTTCCGGGAGAGGGCAGGGGAAGACATCCTCAGGTGCAGAGCCCCACCCCTCTCTAGCCTCCACTGGAAAACCAGGCTCCCAGTGCAGGCGGGCCAGGTCCCAGCCTCGGAGCCTGGATCACTGCACTGGGTGGGCACAGGGAGAGGCCGAAAGAAGTTCAGCCTGAGGCAGACTGCCACCAGAGGAGGGACAGCCCAGTCCTGAGGCTCCTGGACACTCACTTGTAGCTGCTCTGGTTCCACTGAGAAGACTCTACAATGTCACCCAGGAGGCTGAGATTCCAGCAGAGAAGTGGGGGGGGGGGGGTGGTAGGGTGGGAGGCGCACAGGGCACCATTTTCCCCAGATCCCGGCCTGCGCTGGACTCCCCCAGAGGCATCTGAGGACATGGAGATAGAAGCTTGTTCCTCCTTTGCCAGGGGCTCTCCTGAATGTACCTGGAAGCTGGGCTGACAGGCGGCCATGGCGCCACCTCAGACCTAGTTCTTAGTGCCTAGGCCCAAGTAGGGAAGAAGAGCCACCAGGGGTGAGTATCTCGACTGCTAGAGACACTTAGCAGCCTACAGCAAGCCAAATCTGCTCTGACACCTGGGAGGCAGGGCACCCATCACTCACCAGACTGGACTAAATCCCAGCGTAGCACGTGCCTCCTAGGGAGGCTCCAGGCTATACGTTCCACCTTGTGGGCCTTCTAAGCACCTGTGTCCTTTGCTCCAGGTCCTTCCTTGTCTTCAAGGACAGCACGGCAGGACTCTAGGTCTCAGCTCCCCGATTACACCTCTTTCTCTGACTTGTCCCACCCATCACAGATTCTGTGACCACACCAAGCCACCCGGACAGGCTGGGGGCCATCTCTTCGGCTCAGCAACGGTAATTTAACCACATTTGCTGAGTCTGCTAGCCACGTGAAAGCCCACACCCACAGGCTGAGAACTGGGGCAGGGACACTTTTGGGGGTCACTGCTCTGCTGACCACACCTAGACTGGGGCCCAGGGCAGAGCAAGGCGAGTGAGGGCCCAGAACCCTAGGACCCTAGCCTGGATGCTTTTGGCTCAGTCCTCTGGCCCTTAAAGACCCCATGGGCTGGAGGCTCCAATAGACTTCAGAGTTGAACCTGGGTGGGATCTGGCCTCCGTTCCCTCTCACATTTTGGGCCTACGTGGTCCCTGCAGGTCTCTGAATCCCAATTTTCTCATCTCTACATCAAGTGTATTCAACTCCTCCCTACGGTTCCTGCTCCTTATTCTCACCTCAGCTAGGACCACCTGCCCTGGAAAGACAGCTCTAAGCTAACCCTTGCTTCACCCTGCTCTGGGTAGAACAGGAACTCAGAGGCATCCCCGACACTGGGCTCCCTGGAGGGCCTCATTCAGACCCTAGACACTGCTGTCGGGGGTACCTTGGTCACCTCCTTCCTCTGATGTCCTCATTCTCTTTACTGACAAGGAGAAGGACAGCCCACTTGGGAGGAGGAGGAGGGCTGGGCAGGGGTGCACACCTTGCTTTGCAGGGGTCCCACACTTTGGGGTGTACTTTCTCCTGCTCCTGCCTGCCCAGGACTTCCACCTGCTGGGGGACAGAGGTGAGGCATTGGTCGAGGGACGGCTCAGAAAGCTAGGAGTCCCCCATGTGTTCCCCTAGCACTTTGGATCTATTGTGGATTCCTGACATCTTCTAGGAGTTTGTCGGGAGCCTCTGGGCTTGGCAGGCTAGGGACAACAGCCAGGGCACATCCCTGGCGGGGGGGGGGGGGGGGGGGGGGCGGGGGGGGCGGGGCGGTGGGGGGGAGCTGTGAAGGAAGTCAGGTGGGGAGGCCTGCTGTGCCCTTGAGCTCTGGGAAATCAGCAGCAGGTGCCCGGGAACAGCTCTGGACTCCAGGTGCTGATAGGGGACAAGGCAGCATGCCACGCCTCTTTCAGAGAACTTCCCAGGCCCCTGGACACCCAGCAGACATGGAGAGCAGGGGCAGGCCTGGTCGCCAGCAGTCCAGTGTCTCCTGCTCTACTTCCTCCAAGTGCTAAGTGCCACCAGCAATTACCTCCTCCTCTGACAGTCCCCTTGTCTACTTTCTGACTCAGTCTAGGGTCTCTGGCTCTGAGCAGGCTGTTTGCTGCTAAACCAAGATCTCAGCCTGGTCCAGCCAATACCAAGAAGATGAATGAATGAAGGAAGGAATGAAGGAAGGAAGGAATGAGTGAATGAATGAACAAACACATGACTGAGTGCGTGGACTATCTTAGGACACAGCAACAATTGTGCAGGGAATTTGGGGGATGTACTCACTGTCACTGTATTGGGTTGGACACTGTCCCCACCCAGGTGTTGGTGTAAAGCTAAAGCTTCCAATCTGACTGGGAAAAAAATTAGCTACAATGGGCCAGAAGTCGAGGGATGAAGTGGTCCTGGGCTGAGGTGGCCTCATAAACAAAAGACACTTGGGTTAGGTGTGGTGGCACATGCCTGCAGTCTTAGCACTTGGAGAGGTGGAGGCAGGAGGATCAGAAGTTCAAGGTCATCTTTGGCTCCACAGTGAATTCCAGGTCAACCTGGGATATGTTGGGACCTCGTCTCAAAAAACAAAAACAAAACAAAACTAGGGAGCTGGAGAGGTGACTCCGCAGTCAAGAGCACTGAACTCCTCTTGCAGAGGACCCAGGTTCAGTTCCCAGCACCCACGTGGTGACTAACAACCACCTGTAACTCTACTTCCAGGGGATCCAACACCTTTTTCTGGCCTCTACACGCACCAGGCACACACACACACTCACACACACACACACACACACACACACACACACACACTGGGGGAAGGGGGGTAAAATACTCATTTGTACACACTAAATAAAAGTATCAAGAAACAACGGCAAACAAAACAAAAGAAAACAAAATAAACAACAACAAAAAACCCCCCTAGAAAACCACCACTCCCCTACAAAACTCAGAGACCTGGCTAGAGAAGGTTCTGTAAAGACAGAGATGGAACTAAACTGAAGCTGCCATGAGCCCATGAGAGCAGAGCCAGCAGAGGCAAAGCCAGGACCCTCTCTAGAGTCCCCAGAGGTGGACGGCCAGGCCACACCCCCACTTCTTATTGTGCTAGAACACACTCCTGTTGTTCAGGGTGGTCCAGTGTGGTATGACTCTACAGCCCCAGGACACTAATGAGGTCACGGAGGTAAAAGGGGGCACCTTGGGCTCAGAATGAGGGCCATAGCTTGGAGGGCTAGCCAGGATCTACAGGCTGATCCTGCTGTGGGTGATCGGGCTCAGGGCTGATATCCTGGAGCCTTTGCAGGCAGTATACCAGGAGAGGAGCAGGAAGATAGGCAGGGGCTGGGAGGGGACTCTGGGCCCATGGTCCCAAGCCCCTTCACTTCTTTTGGGAGGGGATCAGGAATCAAGCAATGGTCACAGTATGGGTCCTAGGTGCTCTGGGTAACCCTGTATCTCTCATCTGGGGTGGAGGGTAGAACCTCCCTCGTTGGCTAAGATCGTGACAAGGTGAACTGAGGTCCCTGAACAGGCTGACACAGGATAGGAGCACAGAACGCAGCAGAGCCCCAAAGGCTGGAGACAGGAGCTGTTCAGGTACTGTGGGAGCTGCCGTCAAGCCTCTGCAGTCTGACAGGCCACCAAAGGAAAATCCCGTGCAAGACTTGGGGGACCTCTCCTTGCAAAGCCCCCCAGAGCTCTGGCCAAAAGCAGACCCCCTCACCTCCACACAAGGTGAGGAGCCATTCTAAGTCCTCTGAGCCAGAGGACCCCAGATGGGAGTGAAAGGGGTCCCCACAAAGTTGCTTTTAGTAACTCCCCAGATATCACTCCGTGTGCCTTGACTCGAGTCCTGGCTCACAGGGTACCTACCTACTGTGTGCCAGAAGCCATGCTCAGAGCCTTATTACACATTTCATATTTAATCCGACAACAGTCACTCACCCATATCATTGATAAAGAAACTGAGGACCAGAGGTGGTAAGCAAACTGCTTAAGGTCACACAGCAGAGAAGTGGAGTTGATATCTGAGCCAAAAGTCAGCGTGGCTCCACTAAACCCTGGCCAGAGACAAGGAAGGGGATGAAGACAGTAGTGAGCCGTTCTGGGGCAAAAGGAGTCTTCTCTCACTGTTCTGCTCCCAGCCCAGTCAGGAGAACTGTGCAGGCCTAGGATTAGAGGGAAACTGAGGCAGGTAGGTAGTCTTGGCTCCTAAGCAATCTGCAGCTTAGTGGAGGGTGGAAGACAGGGTCCCCAGCTGGCAGCCCCATCTTCCCCGGGTTGCTCACAGACTAGATGAACAGAAGATGTGTGTCCAAGTGACAGCCGGGTCCCTGGTGGCAGACCACAGCGGGTGAAGCACCTGGCAGGATTTCACTGCCAGGTGGAGGGGTGGAGTGGAGAGCCAGCATCCACGGACCTCCCTCAACAGCCTGCCTCACACTCCCTCAATCCATATTTTGCTTTGGGTGGAAATACTTATTTTTGAAGGGGCCAAGAGGAGACCCATTGGGGAACTCAGCTAAAAGAACTGTGACTCTGGCTCTGGGAGCACAGCTGGGGGAGGGGCTTCCCACGCCCGGCTGGTCCGGGATGGGCCTCCGGAAGGGTCCGGTAAGGAATGTCTGGCAGCTGCCGCACCCCCACGGACAGCTGGGAGGCCCGGGGTCCAACTCGGGGGAAGCCACCGCCCACCCCGCGCCGACAGCCCGACACGCATACAGGAAGTGCAGCGGCGCCCCGCTGGGGCCCCCCCACGAAGCTCAAGTGCGCCCCTGCGAAGTAGGGGGCGCAGGGGCCTCCTGCCCCGGGCCGCCCGCCCCCGGGGCGCGATCGCGGGGCTCGAGCCGCCGACACGTTGCACTCACTTCCCTCCCCGCGCGCGGCCCGGCGGCGGGGCGAGCTGCGCGCAAAGTGGCGCGGTGCCGTCTCCGGCCACGCCGCTCCGGGCTGCGCGCCTTACCTGTTCCAGGTGGCGTTGGCGCAGGCCCGGCGCTGCTGCGTGCCCCGCTCGTCCGCGCCCGCCGCGCCCGGCTCCCTCTTGCCCAGGTCACTGAGGCTGGGCGAACTCATGAACTTCAACCTGCGGAGAGTCCTCATGCTCACCCCGGCCCACGCGCGCCCCGCGTCCCCTACGACGATACTCGGCTGCTCGCCGCAAGCCTGGCGACCCCGTGGGGTCCCGCCCCGGCCCCGCGCCTCCGCCCGGGGCCGCGCGCCCAGCGCCGGGCCCTGTGAACCATTGCTTGCGGCGGCGCAGCGTGGAGCGCTCGGAGCGCAAAAGCAGGCCGGGGGCGGGGCCTCCCTCTGGGCGGGGCCACGATGGGCGTGGTCTCGCGTTGGGAGGGCGGGGCTGGCGTCTTGGAGCCCTCAGCGGCCAAAGGGCCAGTTCAGGGGGCGCTCTCAGCCGCCTCCTTCCTTCCCTTAGGAAGCCACCACACAAGAGCCACACAGCAGTCCAACCCCAACTGCCCACCCGGCACCCAACACTATGGTCACATACACACACCATGCACAGGGACCCCTGGTCTCCCATCAACGTCTCCTGAAGTCACTCCCTCGCCAGTCATCCATCCCAGGAGAAAAGGCTGTGCCCACAGAGATCCATCCAGACCCCTTCACGTGGGCACAAGCTCCTCCCACTGCGGATCAAAGCTTTCAGCCGGGTGCCTCAACCATCAGCCCCACCCCACCTGAGTCCAGCACGAACCAGGCTGTCCTAGACCTCTTTCTTAGGGGAGGGGCCAGGGACTAGGGTCTTCTCAGGCAGGGATCCTGGATGATTGACTGGTGAGAGGGGTTGCTGCATTGGGAGTCGAAGGAATGAAGGGCAGTGATACCCCCTGAGTCCTAGGTTCCCCTGTATGGTAGAAGTTAGGGAGTATCCTAAATCCTTGTGCCTGGGCAAGATGATCCTGGGACAGAATGCCACACAGCCTTGGGTCACTGAGAGCAATTTGGATTCTACCTGTTGGGGATATCGTGGCATCCAGGGTAAAATAACCTCTCCAGGGTTTTGCCACTCAAACATGGCAAGCCGGACCTAACCCAGGCCTCCTGAACACACAGTGCCCAACCCCTGACACAGAGCCTTCTTCAGCCGACCTTCTGAGAGTCCCACTAGTTTTGCCTGCCATCTCCAAACACAGGGGACAGGTGTGGCCCCTGGTGACTTGCAGGAGAGCAGAGTCACGGTTCAACTACACTCAGCCAGCATTTCCTAAGCACCCACTGTATACCGGACACCCCCACATGCCTGTCTGAGGAGGCAGTGGTAAACAGACAACTCCTTGTTCACAAGAACTCTCCCGGAGCCTAAGGCCACTCAAGCTACTGAGAAATGACGGCGGCCGGGGAAGGGCTGGGCTCCCCAGCCTCCTTCCCAGTCAATGGCTCCAGGCTGTCTGTCCCTGCCAGTGTGGACTTGGGGGTCAGCGGCAGATGGGCTCACCAGCCTCCGAACAAGGGTGGAGGTGACAACGGCAGGCACCAACTTCCTGATCCATGTCGAGGAACCCAGGTCTGGGAAGAGGAAGCATTCAGGTGGGGGTTGTTGAGGGGGCTTCCATTCCTTCTCATCAAAGCAGGGATGAGACTGCTCGCCCAGAGAGGTGCAAGGTGCTCAACCAACTACGGAGGGAGCGCTGGGCATCCTGGCCGGAAGCTCTGCTCAAGGGAGCAGGAAAAAGCCAGCTTGTGCACTTCCCAGCCATACTGACATGCACAGGACACTGTCACAACTGGACAAGGGGTTCCTGTCTTAATGTAAAAATAAATAAATAAATAAATAAATAAATGAATGAATGAATAAATAAATAACTTGGATGAAAATCCCAAGTGAATCACTGACCCACCAGCCCATGCAGGTGTGCACAGTGGTCACCATGGTTAGGGTAGGTGGATGGGGCAGTCACTGTCCCATAGCACTAGCCTTGAGAGATCTGGACTAGCTGGAGCCTTGGGTGAGTCACTTCTCTAGGGCCTCAGTTTCCTGTGTGGAACATGAAGGCCACGGAATCTTGGCTTCTCCCTGTCCCTCCAGGACATCCAGGCCAGGCGCTGGGGTTTTTCATCCTGTATCAGGAGTGCCCAATCCGCTGCCTGTGAACTCTGTGTGTCGGGATAGCTATGAATGCTGGCCACCATAAAACCACAACTCTAACCCAAAGGCTGGTTCTCAGCACCTGCATCTGGCAGTTCACAACTACCTGTAACTTCAGCTCTAGGAATCTGACACACTCTTCTGGCCTCTGTGGGCACTGCGTGCAAGCACACAAGCCTACACTCAGATACACACATAGACACACAATCAAAATTTTAAATAAAAACAAAAACAAAGGTAGGATACATGTACTAGACCCTCCTCTTGCTCCTACTTGCCCTTCCCCTCCCCAGCCTCAGTCCTTAGCATCTCTAGCCTGGACTACAGACCCCTCCTGATCATTCTCTCCAAGTCACACCTGTGCCCTCACAAACAGTAGCTGGGGCTGGCCATGGCACACACTGCCCTCCTGAGTTTCCACTGTGCCGAAGAGCAAGCGTGAGGCCGCCAATCCTTGAGACGCCTACAAGACCTCCATGCTTCCCTGCTCTCCAGAACATCAAAGCTGAAGGTCAACTCCCCCTTCCGATCGCCTCTGCCCTTGTTTAGACTTAGGGTGGCTTTCTTGACATTTTCTATCAGGGATGGGGGCTGTAACATGCTTATACCCACATTCCCTATGCTTAGCACACAGTAGGTGTGCGAGAGGAACGGATATATTCATCTCATATTTTAGGCCATATTGGTGAAAACCAAGATGCACAGACACGAGGCAGTCATGTCTCCACCACTGATGTAACTGCAGCAGAATCCCAGGCTCTTCAGAGAAGCCTGGCCGTGTACCCAGCACAGATAGGCAGGTCAAGGGGCAGGACTGACTTCTGGTTGCCTGCCTGGCACGAGTGGCTGGCTGGGAACAGGGAGGCAGTCTGGGCTGCTCTGGAAGAGCAGCCAGAGGAAGAGGCTGGTAGGTGAGGGGAGACCACAGTGGGCAGGAGGAGGGAGGGAGAAGTGAGTTGCACGGGCATCCAGTGGAAGGGGCTGGAGTGCAGCCAGGGTCTAAGAAGTGAGATAAATAACATGCAGAATGGGGTCCGCGGTTGTACCAATTAGAAGACGTATCTAGAGCCAACTGTAGGGATGCTCCTCTGTAATCTTGGTAGTTGAAAGGCTGGGACAGGAGAATTGCCTTGAGTTTGCAGCCAGCCTGGGCTCCATAGTGAATTATAGATTCTTAGGAGACAATGTCTCAAAGAAAGGAAAAGAGAAGACATTTCCAGAGAGAGTGAAGAAATGAGCTGTTCCCGCCCCAGCACAGACTTACACCGGCTACACCCACAGCCCAAGGCAGAAGTGTGACAGAGACGCGGGGGGTGCCATGCCGCCGCCGCCGCCAACGCCGCCGGGTGTTGGGGCTGGTAGTAGGCAGCGCGGGTGAGTGTTGCTGGTAGGCAGCAAAGGGCAGAGCTCTCTGGGCCCAGAAATCCAAGGCAGAGTCTGGGAGATCAGGCTGTTCCAGTTCCCCAGGAAAGACAACTGAGGAGTTGGGGGGCAAGTCTAACCCCCAAAAGTGTTCCTGTGGCCTGAAGTGTCAGGAAACCCCAACAAACCCCTATGAAACCAACTTCGATAGGTCGAAGGGACAGAGAACCCCTGTTTGGCAGAATTCCTAGACAGCTCTTGATACAGCTATCACCCCTGTAAGCAGGTACAGGGACTTTGTGTGCCCTGCTGGACCCTCCAGGCACCAATGGGGACCTGTGGGTTTGGTACCTGGATCAAGGATTGAGCAGCTGTCTTAGGAATGGCCTTGCAGAGAGTCACTTGTGTCTAAGGCTCTTGGTTAAGGACACAGGAGGATAAGTGAACCCATTCACATATCCCCTAAGCAGCCAGTGTCTCAGAACCATGGCCTCCTCCCACGGGACCCCAGCGCCAACCTCTACCTGCCCAGCAAAGAACAGGAACCTGAGACAGGATCCTGGCCACCAAGTGAGACACCAAGAGCATCAGGGCTATCCTGCTGGGAGTGAGCCCTAAGTGAGCAGCCAGGATTGGGGTCCATCTAACCTTGCTGCTGGATCAGCTGACCTCTAGGGACTCGGGGAACCCATTTGGAAGATGGGTAGTTTCTCAGAATTTGAGGGTCAAGAAAGAGAAACTGAAGCCCTTAGGGGCCCCACACTCCCCACAGTCCTCTCCCATTCATGGGGTATGAAGGTACTGAGGGGCTGGCCCAGATGGTTCACATGCAGGGCACGGTACTCTCCAACCCTGACCACCGACCTCTAGTCTACCAGGACAAGACCACAATGTAGTTTCACTTGCCCATGACAATTAAAGGGGACAGAGAACTTATCTGAAGGAACCAGTTGAAGAGGGGTCCCTGCTAGGGGTGGGAAGGACAAGAGACAGGGCAGAGAGGCGGGACTTGAACACCCTGGCCCATCTGGTCCTCCCAAGGCTGCTCACCCTGGAGGTCAGGGGATCCCATGTCATAAAAGAGAAACGGAGGCTCCGGAAGGCTGGGGCCCATTCACAAAATCAGGGTGGCCAAGCGGCAGGGCTGAAGCTGGAGCCTGGCCTGGTGAGCAGGAAACAGCCCCAACTCAGTCATTGTCACCTACCTCCGCCATAAGCACGCTCACTAGGCTCTCCTCTCAAGAGTCACCCACTCCAGAGGGGGCACTTTTGCCCCATTGGCAAGGCCTGGCAGTTGCCCAAAGCTGACTGGTACCATGCCTCTAACAGCCTGTGGCAAAACTGGCTCCTAACCCTGGGGTCCCAGATACCCAGGAGAGGACCAGTAGATAGCTAAGAAGCGTGCCTGGCTCTGCCTCTCTGGCCTGTGCCCCTGGGTCATGTCTCATCCCTTCCTTGATATGCAGAAGGTGGTGAAGCTGGGCAATCACAAGGTCGCAGGGTCACACCAGGAGCTTGGCAACTGCTCCTATTACAGAGGAACAGTGAGGAGGGGCGTTGAGCCAGGGCTGCAGAAGCCCAGTGAAGCTATCACCACCACAGGGTAAGACTAAGTTAGGATCTTAGAGGCTCTTCTCCCTGCATCCCAAAGCCAGCCGACCAGTCAGCAGGCAGTGCCATCTGCCTCCTCACTCATGTCTCCTCGATCCTACCCTCCCCTCAGGTCTTCCTGACATGGGACAAGCTCACCTGGCTGGTCCTGATCCTCTGTCCTAAATACTTCTTCCCTCCTATGCTTCTGGCTGCTGTGGGTTTCTGACCAGCAGAGATCCCTTGTATCTGACACCCTCACCGTATCCATGTGATCCCAAGAGACTCTCCCTTCAAGCCTCAGTGAAGGTCTGGGACATCAGTTTCCAAAGGTTCTTTGGGTAGGGTGGTTTAGAACCCTGGTTCTGATCCCTCACTCAGTGCCCCGGGGGGAAGTGAGGTTCCCCTGGAGCTGAATCTTGGAGTGGCAGAGAGTTAGCTTTGACTCCCTTAGGGAGATCTGCTCCAGCCCTGCCGACGCAACCTTAACATTGAACATGGCTGTCCTGCTTCATGTGGGTGCCTGACTATGGTGCTTGTCTCCACTCAGTGGGCGGACGAAGGCCCACATGCCAGCAGCAGGGACCTGCAGGTTGCCGGCTTGCCTTCCTGCTCTGGGCTGTCCTTGAGGCACCTTCTTGCCAGTAGCTTTTTCGTAGAAGAATTCTTGGAAAGAATGAATGTGACTTAGGAATCAGCTCCTGCTGGCACTACCGGAGAAGAGCCCAGACACAGTTAGTACGCAGGCGTGGTAGGAGATCTGAATGGAGAAAGTTCCTTCTCTCTCTCTGGCTGTCTGAACCTTGCACCCAGCTCTGCCAGGTAGGAAGAGCTGCTCCTTGTCAAGATCCAACGTGGGCGATAGGAACAGGGAGAACCAACCCTTGGCCCCTGTCCCTCACTTCCTGGTTGAAGTACAAAGAGCCAGCCCAGGGTTGTCTGGATACCACCAGGGCCTCCCAGGAGGAGGGTGCTGTTCCCCAGGGTGGTGTTCCCCCAAGCCACCCATTCCTGGCCTTCCACACTCAAAAAATTATTATCTGTGAAAAGCTCTTCTGATTAGAGAGCCCCGAGCTGGGGGAGGAGTCATGTCACATGGTGGGGAGAGGCGGAGACAAACCCAGCAGTCAAAACTTGGGTCCTTCAAAATCTCCGTGAAGGAGAAAATCCCTGGAGGGTAGGATCCCCAGCGGATCTGGGCACCAACGTCAGGAAAAGCAGTGACATTTACCAGGTACCTGCCACACCCAGCCCGGGCCACTGAAGCCCAGCTGAGGTCCCAAACCCTGAGGTCAACACAGAGTCACAGACTGGTGAGAACCAGAGCTCAGACTGATGCTGGAGTTCCTGTTGCCTGTTCTGTCCCCAGCTCCCCTAACGTCAGGCAGCAAGACCAGAACCCACCCGAGGATGGCAGGACCCACCACTGCTGCCCTGGCAATGTGGCTGGGGCTCTAGGGGCCCTGGCTCTCTGCTGCCCCCCAGAGCTTCTATAGGGACCAACAGCCTCCTGCTGGCTCAGGACTCCACTGCCACCTGCTTGGATCCCTGGCCCTGTCCAGACCCGCCCCTGCCCTGCCTACCTAATCCTTAGATCAGGTCCTGTGCCTTCGGAGAAAACTCCAAATTCCAAAGCCTGGCATTCTGGACCCTAGGCAGGCAGGGCCCAGCATGCATTC